TGGACCCAGTAACAATAGAGGTCACGTACTTCCTGAATGCAGCGTCGGATTCTCCTCGATTAACTGCGTCACTCCGGTTGGCAGTTAAGCTGCGACGAACAATTTTGACGTCGTGCTTCGTACCTAAAGAAAACTGCAATGGTTAACGGTTTTTTGAAAATGTGTGAAGGAATTATTTCCCCATTTTTAACATCGATTACATATGATTTAAGATGTGCAAAGCGCTTCCTACTTCAGCATCATGACTGAAAAAAGAAAGTTACGTTTTGTTGCCAGGTAACGAGGGGAGGGGGGCATTGGGGTTTGCGGTTTTGCGATTCTGGCTATTTTTTTCGGTTTTGTTATTCGTGTTTTGCGAGTTTTCCGTTTTCAGTATTTGGTTTTCGGTTTTTGACAGGTAGTCGAATTTGTTATCCAATGTGCTTTTTCGGTTTCTCTGATTGGAGTTCCGCTTTCTCTTCGATCTGAGCAGCATTTACCCTCTGCTAGCTGCCTCTGCTAGCTGCAAGTTTAGTGAAAAGAGTTTCAAAATACCCTTCGAGAACAGAGGAAACCTATATGAGGGTTTTGAGAAACGTATCTCTGGAGTTATTAGTTCAGGAGAGAAGTATACTCAGAAACAGAGAAAATAGCGCGCGCACATACCCCTCTGCTAGCTGCTGATCTCGAATAGCTGCGAAACCTATGTTGCTCCACTTGTAACCACAGTATGAGATCGATTGTGAATTTGACAACTGAGATGTGCAAATTTATCGGTTTAGACGGTTTTGCATGCGGTTTTCGGTTTTGATCGAATCCGGTCTTTTGTGGTTTTGCGGTTTCTGATTAAATTTTTTACTGGTTCAAAGCAGGCGGTGTGCGCATTCTGATTGCGTTGCATCATGGTCGTAAAACAAAAATTGAATCATTTGCATCTTGACGCGTTGGAGTGAAAATCTTTGGTGGCAGCGAGATACAGCGTGAATATACGTGGATTGTAATGGAGATTCACTGTCTGTTGCCATTCCTTTGAAAGTTAAAACGTTTGACGAGCCTGCGCGACTCCTGTCATTCCTCCGTAACGAATTCGTTCTTAGGAGACAACTGACGTTATTTAGAAAGATTCGAAACTGCAATCTGCCTAAGAATCTCGACACAAATGGCAACAGTCACACTCACGACTAATGGCGAGATGAGTAATTTGAAAGTTAGTACTTATATTCTTAGACGCGAGTTATTCAACTATGAATCGACCCTTGACATGCACACGCATATTAGAGAGACAGAGACCTTGTACTAGACGAACCTTTTCCACCTAGCGTAAATACAATGTTTGTAAAAGGAGAAGCCTCGCGCCTCCCGCTAAGAGCGAATTTGTCGAGCTCAACATTTAGTGAAAAGAGTTTCAAAATACCCTTCGAGAATAGTGGAAACCTATATGAGGGTCTTGAGAAACGTATCTCTGGAGTTATTACTTCAGGAGAGAAGTATACTCTGAAACAGAGAAAATTCCGCGCGCACAGAAGAAAATATTGCCTTTTGTAACACAAT